GGAATAGTTAAAAATATTTAATGACATTAATGACTCAGCCTCATGTTGTTCTAGACTTTCATTCATCTTGAAAATCAACTTAAAATATTTTGGATAAAATTCAAGACCTCGCTAATCCATAGAGAGCAAGATTCCTCAAAGGCAAGAAATATTCAATATGTCATCAGTGGTTTATTAGGAATATTATGAAGCTTCAAGAATACTTTTGCACACAAAATAAAAAAAAAAATCAGTTTAGGGCTTTAGGTGAACTATCTCTTTAATACACATTGCTGTGCTAACTGATTAAGCTGTGCTTCTTATTTCAAAGATCAAAAACTGTCTCTATTAGACTATCAATGCTAAGAATAATGGTTTGTTCGTTTGCTAAACAATATCATTTTAGTGCAGAAAATCCAACAATTTAAAAGTGCAGGTTTTTATGTAATCTTCTTTTAGCCTATTAATGCACAATTGATATTAAATGTACCTTTAATGTAAACCCAACTAATTATTTTTCTTTCCCACTGACTTTTTTCTTTTAACTTAAATCTATGAGAGAAGAATATATTTGGCAGTTACCGTTTTTCCATTGGTATACTTACCATTTATTTTTCATAACGCATTTATTATGTATGGCCATACACTCAAAGCGCTTCACAATCATGAGGAGGGGTATCTGCACACTATAGGTCTGCATTCGTGCAGCTGTACCGGGGGAGCTGCGGGACCCGACCAGATTTCTTGTGGCGCGGGAATAAATTTCTGAATAAAGTGCGGGAGCGGTTGGTAACTGGTGTAATTTTACCAATATAGTTAAACAGTATCGCTCACGACTCCCGAGCATGCGAGCACGCGTATGTATGTGTGAGAGACAGAGCTTAGTGCTGTCCTTGTGTGTGAATGAGAGAGAGCGTGATGCTGTCTGTGTGTGTCACTTGCTTGATGCTTATGTGTGTGTATGTTTATACAGACAGCTTGTTAAAGGCTACTGGACTCTATATAGCTGGGTGGTTTTCGGTTTTGTTCTCCACCCGCCCATTAGCGGGAACCGGCGCAGTGGGTAGAAAACGGGGCGGGGCGGGCAGCAGGAAAACAAATGCTGAATATAAGCGGGATTGGTCGGGTTTGGACTAAAACCTGGCGAGAACGGGATTCAAAATTTTGTCCCGCGCAGATCTTTACTCCACACCTCTACCAGTGTGCAACATCCACTTTTTATGGATTATCGCATAAAAGACGTGTGAATAAAGCAGCTTTTCAATCCAAAGAGTCAAAGGGAACAAAATCGTCACTTGCTGATTATCTGGCGCCAAATATCAACAGTAAAAACAGAATTTGCTGCAATAGGAGAAGCTGCATCAATCTTTTTTTCATCTAATAAATGACTAGCGCCTCAGAAGGCAATTCTGACACGCAGTGAGCGTGCGGTGGCGTTTCAAGGTGTTAGATGCGGAGCACAGGCGCTCTTGATTCTAGAGGTCATTAATAACATAATAACACTAATACTGAAACAGTAAGGCATTTTAAAATGACCAAAACAACAGTTCAGATGGTTTGCAGTGTGCTCAGCCTGCTGGTTTATCCATTTACACACATTTTTATCATCACATGATCTCTCATCACAAAATCACATGACCTTTTTAATGCACATGCTGAAATTTGTGCGGTTAAAATGTTTCCATCGCAGTTTATGTGCATCTTTTGTTGTTGAATAAAAAGTTTATCCTACTCAGTTATGCGCATAAGCTTTTTATGCACATTTTCAAAATTTATGTGCACCATGATGTTTCCATCAACCGTTTTTTTATGCGCATATGCAAAATGCGCATAACAATAAGTGGATGGAAACATGGCTTCTGATTAAGCCAATTCAGTGGATGGGAATGATTGGGAGGCCATGATGATTAAGGGCAAAGAGGAAATTTGGCCAGGACACTGGGGTTATACCCCTACTCGTTATGAGAAGTGCCATGGGATTTCTTATGACCACAAAGAGTCAGGATCTTGGTTTAACGTTTCATCCGAAAAATGGCGCCCACTGATAGTATAGTGTCCCCTTCACTTTTACTGGGGAATTAGGACTCACACAGACTGCAGGTTGAGCGCCCCCTGCTGGCCCCACTAACACTACTTCCAACAGCAACCTAGTTTTTCCCATGTGGTCTCCCATCCAGGTACTAATCAGGCTCAGATTAAGTTAATTTAACACTTTTAAAAATTTATGTGGATTAAACATTAAACAATTAAGTTGTCTCAATGATATCTCAAAAATTTTGTTGTTTTATTTAGCTCATTTTATTTAAGTAGTTTGAACAAGTAAAAAAAAAAATTTTTTTTGAGTGTACAACGATCACATAATAAAAACACCCAAGACAACAATGAATTAAAAGTTTAAAAAACATATTAGCCCCATACATATTACTGCAGATCATTCTTAACAACTGCACCATTCACATTAAAAAGTGATCCGGTTTAATACTGCAACTGGGATAAATTACTATTTATAAGTGTTTCTTCTTGGTATGTCCTGATTGTAACATTTCAAAAACAGAGGGAAGGGATGTGTATTATCTTTAAAAATTTACGCTACTTAGTTCTTAATGTAAAGTGTTACTAACTCTTCTACTTAAATATAATTGTAGTTACCTTTTTTTTTTTTACTTTTTTTACATAAATTGTTCTCAAATTCAACACATTATATCATCTGTAAAGTATTGATGTGTAGAAATACGAAACTTTTAAAATATTTGTATTATTTAAGTCATGACTGCTGCCCTTCTGTAGTTAAAGACATGTATTAATCCAGAGAGGGGGTTGGTGTAAAGGCTTAACCCTGATCTCCTGAAAGCACTGCCTCCAGATTCTCTTTATTTATCAATCCATCTGCCGGCATTTCGCATCTTCTCCTGAAACTGGATAATTTAGCACGCTTCCGCACTGTTCACATCAAAACTTCCAGCAGAAAGAGGCTTAATCCACCTTATCTGAAGCCCTGTCAAAGCAGTGAGCGAAAAGCCTAATCAAAGAGACAGGCAGGGTCACCCAGGAGAGGGTCCGACGGATGGGTGTATGATTTCTAATTGAGCTCCAGGATTTGGGAGATGCTCACACTGGGGTTTAGTCTGCTCATGGAGTGGTGCAGTGTTGTGGGTAAAGATCTCAGCTGGTAATTGTTAGGACGTTGGGTTGAATGGCTTGAACCTTTCAGCTTGTGCCCTTGAGCAAGACACTTAACTCCAGCTCACACCAAGTGTATAACTACAGTACTCAGCATATATAAGTACACCCCTCACAAGTCGATTTTTTAAATTAATATTTTTATTAGGAAGCTATACAATATTGTATGTGTGCACATACATTAGATGAGGTAGTACTGAAGCCAAATCTGGAGCTTATCTAACAAAATAACTTACGATAATGGTCCAAAAACTAGTACACCCAAATTTATGTGAAAGAAAAATATGTAATGGAAATTTAAAAAAAAGAAACATCAAAAGAAGCGAAAAAAAATTTAACATTTTTGAAATTTTGTAGGTTGTAATTTTTTTGCTATAATTTGCTTGAATTTAATTGTATTATCTTTCAATTTCTAAATATGTTTGGTGGCTAAAATATTATTTTAATAAACATATCTGTTTAATAAATCTGTTTTGCTAAAATGCACCAAAATACATTGCCCATATTTACTAAGAAATGGATAAAAATATTCATTTTTTAAAATGGGGTGTACTCAATTGTGCTGAGCACTGTAATTGAATGTGTGAATATGAAACATATTTTATATAATATTCGATAGAATAATTTGGGTTAGTAAGGTTTATTAATTTATACATAAAATATTTTAGTACAACAAAGTGACAGTAAATAAATGTTTTTTTAATAAGTGATAACTTGAAAATTTGCCTGTGCAAAAAGTCATTTTGTTTGGCTCTTCAAACTACTGATGCCAAAAATGTTACAGCATAAAAAGACAATTTGTCGAAATAACAGATAAGATGCCTTGTTTTCAGACATGTTTATATTAATTTTCAGACAAAGACTGCTAATTTCCTGATTTTTTTTGTTTTTGTTTTTGTTTTTTGATACCCAGATTTTCAAAACAATTGTTATATAAACAATTGTTATTTTCTAGAAAGAAATGTTTTGAATGACGATCTGAAATTTGGAAGAAATGTTATGAGAACTTTATAGAATTAAACAAATAATAACATTGAACTTAAAAATACACCTAAATCAAGTACATCCAGAGAAACAGATCATTTTCAAGTAGTCTAGTTTTTTCTAAAGCTGTAAAAAACATTTCAATTAATCTAAGAATCCCTAAACTGTAGAAGTCAGAGATATTAGCTCTCCTCTTTTTAAATTATTTCCCAAATTATGTTTAACAGAGCAAGGAAATTTTCACAGTATGTCTGATTATATTTTTTCTTCTGGAGAAAGTCTTATTTGTTTTATTTTAACTAGAATAAAAGCAGTTTTCAATTAAAAAAAACAAAAACATTTTAGACTAATAGTCTACAGAACAAACCATCATTATTCAATAACTTGCCTAATTAGCCTAACCTGCCTAGTTAACCTAATTAACCTAGTTAAGCATTTAAATGTCACTTTAAGCTGTATAGAAGTGTCTTGAAAAATATCAAGTCAAATATTATTTACTGTCATCATGGCAAAGATAAAATAAATCAGCTGTTAGAAATGAGTTATTAAAACTATTATGTTTAGAAATGTGTTGAAAAAATCGTCTCTCCGTTAAACAGAAATTGGGGGAAAATAATTCAGGGGGGCTAATAATTCTGACTTCAACTGTAAAAATGTATTACAGTTTCCAAAGCTGTTTTCAGCATGGCTAAAATAAATGTTTCTTGAGCTGCAAATTTGCATGTGACAAATAAATACATTGCGCTTAGTAAGGGTAATGTGCCTAGATTGGACATTTTAAACTTGAACATTAAAAAACAGACAGAAACAGTTTGATTTGTTGTTTGAGTTATAACTGTATTTTATTCTTCCAACAGGGGAGTTGAAAATTGTCTGTGAAGGAGAAGAGAGAAAAATTTGTTCTTGTCAGGCCCTTTTACTGGGCACCACGTGGGGACCTTTTCCTGGCAAGATCGAGGCAACCACTGGAGGAAGTGACAAGGTTGGTGTTTTTTTGTTTATTTGGGGTGAATTAAATGGAAAATTTCATTAAATTAGATAAAAATGATAACCCAGTTTTCCTGTAAAAGATCTTTGTACAGAGTGTATGTGATACTAAATAAGAATATAAACTGACAATTGAATTCTATTTTTACTGAACAGACAGAAAGCTTTGAGACTTTTTAGTTTATATACATATAAAAAAACACATTAAATGCAAGTAAAGTTTCTACTTTAATGTTTCAAATAACGTTTATGAAAATAAAAGTTGGGGCGACACGGTGGCGCAGTGGGTAGCATCATCTCCTCTGTGTGGAGTTTGCATGTTCTCCCCATGTTTCCTCCTGGTGTTGTGGTTTCCCCCACAAGTCCAAAGACATGCAGTATAGGTAAATTGGGTAAGCTAAATTGTCCATAGTGTATGTGTGTGAATGGGAGTGTATGGGTGTTTCCCAGTGATGGGTTGCAGCTTAAATGGCATCCGCTGCGTAAAACATATGCTGGATATGTTGGTGGTTTATTCAGCTGTGGCGACGCCAGATAAATAAAGGGACTAAGCCAAAATAAAAGTTCCATTATCGTTCAGTGTAACATAAATGTGTGTAAAAAAGCAACATACTTATTCTGATTGTGCTTTTTTAAAAATATATTGAAAAGTACATGATCAAACTAAGCTTTACTATATTGTATACATTTTAAACTACCTTCTGACAAATATAGTGACTAATGTATAATGAATGATATAAAAAATTACAGCTAATTTTGAGATTGCACTATGAAGTTTAAATTATTAATTAATAGTTAATTTAATCATTCTTGCTCTAAAAATACTTTATGACCATTTTTGGTATTTAAACTTTTACTCTGAGTGATATTTTAATATGCATCCATTGTAAATCAAAAATGTATGATAGTCATTATTTTGGTCTCGGAAATAAAAATAAAGAAATTAAACAGAACATATGCTTTATTATGCTTGTATTGTTTCAATAGTCTCTAAACCATGTTCGTTTATGATCTACCTTTGCCAACATATTTTGTCCTTGGCATTCAGTATTATTGAATTGCGGCTAATTACAGCAAGACTACAGACAGAGAGCCTGGATGGACAGACCGAGCAGTAAAATCATTTAAAATGTTTTCTGTGTCCATTTGTTTTGTATTTTGAGGCCTTGGAGAAGGTGGTGTTGTGTTTTGGAGTGTACGAGCGAGCGAGCGAGTGTGTGTGTCACGGGTAATCTGTGCCCGTGGCAGGTTTACCCTGTGAAGCGGACTGGTATCGCAGGCCCATTGTTGTTGCTCCTGTCAGAGCGGGGAGAGGCCGATGGAGGCCTGTGCTGGCCTGATAAGGGGAAAGAGGATTCAGCGGAGAGAGAGAGACAGGCAGAAAGAGAAAGAAATGACTCAAGGAGAGTGGAGTGCTGTGTAGACTCTGTCTTTTTCATGAAGTATTCCCACACTGTCAGAACCGTACAAACCTCTCTCTCTCCCTATTTTTCTGCGGCTCCATTCTGAAGGTGAGGCTTTAAAAAGACACACAACATGTACTGTAAGTGAGGATGCAAGGCAAGGCAAACAGAGTGTGTGAAATGTTTGTTTGGTTCTCACCTGTTTGTGTTGGTATTTGGTAAGCATCACTTTTACTGTCGCTTAGTGGCGAATCTAGTTTTATTTTTCTATGAGTGGACCTTAGTTAATCTGAAGTTCAACCTTTTACAATACTTGACTCAAAAATAGGGATGTAAATTTGAAAGCTAATAATGACATATTACAAACATATTAATAGGGGACAAAGTGCAAAAAGTAAAAAGTACTATTGGTTTTTGTCACAGGTAACAGTAACTTTACTATTTAAAGGGCTCCTGTTTTACCCGCTTTTTTACGATTTAAGATAGGTCTTTTGTGTGTCTGTGAAGTTTCAGCTCAAAACTTACAACAGATTAAAGGTTTAAACTTTAAGAATATTAGGATTTTCTAGCTGTTTTTGTTGCTTGTGCATTTGATGCTAGTTCTTTCTGCCCACCATAATCATATGCCTGTCAGATTGTGCCTCAATCTCCGCCTCGGTTGCGTCAGAAAAACAGCACAGTGACAGACATGAAGGAAGCAGATCTCACATAAGGTTAATGAGAAATACTACAGTAAGAACTTTATGAATGATTGTTTTGATATATTTGTTGTGGAATTAATTTAAGCCTTTCCGCAACCTCTTAAAAACACAGAGTTAAAAACTACCCAAATTGGGTTGTTTTTAACCCGATTGCTGGGTAAATATGGGACAGAAAACATCAGGGGTTAAATTAACCCAAGTAATTGAGTTATTATTTTTAACCCCATAAATGGGTTGTTTTTTCTATCCATAAATTGGTTATTTTTACTTAAATAATAGGTTAATTGGATCCAAAAATGCCTGTGAAAGATGACCCAGAAATTGTGTTGTTTTGACTTGGCGTCACTGAAGTATGGTGGGGGATGTGCAGCTTTGAACAAATCAAACAAATTTAATTTAAACAAATTAGTATATAATATGAGGTATCCCAGTCAGCTCCTGCTGTGAGTGGATTTGACCCAAAGAGCTGGGTTGAAACTACCCAAGACTAATAATAACCCCCAAATGCCTCAACCTCAAGATTTGGATAGAAAAAAATAACCCCATGTTTTTAGAGTGCAATGATGAGTCACACACAATGTTGTTAGAAAGTTTATGTACACACACACACACACACACACACACACACACACACACACACACACACACACACACACACACACACACACACACACACACACACACACACACACACTGTAGACACAGTTTATCTTAGCACTGTTGTTGCATGACAAATATGACAGGATACACATTAATATCCACTACTGTATGGACATCCGTTATGTTAATGTAGAAAATAAATCTGATTTAATGTCCACAAACCAAGATTGAATCATCTTCTTTTATAATTAATTGTAGTAATATGCGGCTGTGGTGATTAGGTAAAGACAGTAAAATCGCTGTAATTCATTACTAACATGCACTGTTTTGAACTTGTTAAACTCATTTTTGATCACATTTGATGAGGATTGATGATCATTGTGAGCTAAACAGATCTTTCCAGTTGCTTTGCACACCAGTCTTGTATGATTATGTGTTACTACAGACACATGTTAATACGGGGCTGTAAATCAATTCGGTGGGTGGGATAACCGCACTCCTACGTCACGTTGCGGTGGGCTTCAAAATGGGAGGGATTTGAATCCTATTTTAGCATCAGGAAATTCAAAAAAAGAGACTTATTGTGTTTATGTCACCCCGATATGACTGTGGACACACTATACCTACACACACAGTTCTGTCCAAGCAGCTTACAAAAGATGATTTTTATCATGGTTCATCAAGTAATTTTACCACTTTCTAATATTATTTGCTCACAAAAACTTGTTATACACTAATAAACATATTGATGAAAGTCAAGTATGCTAGCAACAAAGTCTACAGAATCATATATCGTTGTACCTGACTATAAAGTGAGTTAAAACAAAATCTGTCTAAATCCTGTCCTGGCAAATTTAAGCATTCAAAATAAAAACACAAAACAGCAAAACAGGTTTAATACTAAACCTACAGATACCCAGATAAGAGATTGCTCCGTTAAAATATTAAGGACTCGTTTTCAATTTTTTAATTAACTTTTTATTTTTGAAAGGGTTAGTTTACTTCCTGATTTTTTTTTTTTTTTTAATTTTACTCACTACCTTGTCTGCAAATATGTTCAATTGAAGAGTTCAGATGCAAAAACCTCTAAGCGCCATCTAAACTTCATTCATTCATTTCTTGTCAGCTTAGTCCCTTTATTAATCTGAACTTTTCTTTTAAAAAGTCTTGTTAGTAGGTTAAGTAATTTCACTTCTATGTTCACATATAGAGTATTTTGATTGCCTGTAGTGTGAAACAACTCAACATAAATATACTGTAGGAGATGCTCGTTTTTGAAGGAAATTACAGATGGCATTTAGAGGTTTTTGCATCTGAACCCTTCATTCCTTTCTTTCTTTAGAAAACAATCATTTATATGTATGGAGTAAAACCTTGTAATGTATCAGAATTCTATTAATAGAGAACTTGCAAAACTATTAACATATAATTTTTTTTTTTTTTACTTTTTATTAACATATTAGTTTATCTTTTATTTGCTGCTGCAGTAGGGAATTAACATTACGTAAAAGAAAAAAAAAACTTCCCTACTTAGGTGATAATGCAAAAATGAGGACATAAACTTTTCATAAAGTTGGATTAAAAGCAGACTTATATAAACAACTAACAATGATCTAAATATGACTTTTACTTACAATAGAAAATTTAAGAAAAATCACATGCATCTCAGATTTATTAAGCAATGTCTTATAATATGCTTGGATGTGTCAAGAAACCAAAATATATCTTATTAAGAGGCTGGAGGCTTGAATAAACCTTTTTTTCCTAGAGTTGGTCTTAATTTATAGTATGGAGGAGTCAATGCTGAAAGGTAATGCCAGTCCGAGTTGACAGATTTAAGTGAAAATGTTGTAATGTATGTTAGGCAAAGACTCCATTCAACCAGTAGATGTTTGATATTTTCAGCTGATTTTAAATCACATTTGGAAGGCTGTTAGCCACATACAACAAATTTGTCATCCTCACATGTCATCATTTCAGAAAAGTAACCTTTATAAAATTGACTGTTATTTCTCACGAAGTTAAAATTATTGTAATTTGTTTCTATCTTTGGAGACTAATGGTTATTTTTCTGAAAGGAGGAAGCATTAATCACATAGCACGATGCACAAATGCGACCTTCTAAAGGCACAGACTTTGAACCAAGACACATGTCGATGTGCCTAGTGCTTTAAAATGTGTATTCCAGCACTAAGCAGATTTATGGGGCCCCTTGTATTTTGATTAAGTTTGGCTTGAATGCCTACATTAATATGCAGGGACCACAAGCCGAGCCCCATGTCATCAATTTGTACTAATTTCAGATTAATTCATCACAGCGCTTTGAGGTGAAGTGGATATGATCTGTGTTACCTGTAGGGATGAAGAGACGTCCAGCTCTAAAACAGCATCATCCCTTCATGTCCCCGTGGGGGAGGAAAGAGAACCCAGTGCTTTCCAGACTCTCAGACTGTTATCAGTGCTCTTATCTCTCCAGGAGCACACGCTCCCTCTCTCCCGGGCCAAATCTGCATTTCTGCTGAATCGTATCATCTTCCTGCCGACTGGTCAGTCCCAGACAGGGCTGACGTGGCTTTGTCTTACAGCCTATCAGACATGGAGAGGCAGACACAAAAGGAAAACAGAAGTAGGCATTAGTATAGTTGAAATTATGGTACTTTTTACAGCAATAATATATTTTACCCCTTTAAAAAAATCCATAAAATATATGGTAAAAAAAATGGCATTTGTGGTTTGTAGATTTTTACTATTAAACATATGGTAGAAACTATATGAAGGACATTTCTAATGTCAACCATATTTAATTCATTTATACGGTTAGTACAATAGTGTTTTCCAGAACTAAAATCTGCATATTGTATCTATGTTATACCACACCATAAGCATGTGGCAATAAGAAAGCCAAACTATGAACCAATATTTATTACAAATAGCTTTTCAACATGCAGAGAAACAAACTAAGAAATAGAAGGTTTTCAGTGTCATTCACACAACTGCTAAACACAATCATAATAACACACAACACTAAACTAATGCAGTAAACACTACACATCAACATTAGATGTAACAAAACTCTAATGTGCATAACTGATGAGAAAAAGAACCATAGTAATTTCACTGTATATATTAAGGAAATATACTGTAAAGCAGTTTTGTTTTGTTTTTATTATAATGTTTCTTTTAGTTTTTTGGCTATTAAAATGATTGTGTTTTTATTTCTGGTTGGTTATTTTGTAAGCTCTTCCATTTGGTCGGTGCTGCACTTACATAGTGTTGGGTGTTTTGAGTTAGAAAGCTATTAGTTACTCTAATTAAATTATTAATCTACTGAAAAAGTAAAGTAAGCTATTAGTGTTAGGTCATTTTATTACACTTACTTTTATTGTACTTGCCTTATGCTGAAAATAAATTCAACAGTTGTGTATAAACTAGGCATGGGACCATAACCGGTTTCAAGGTATTAAAAGTACTAAAGTTTTTTATGTAAAGTGTTTATAAGGGTTTTTTAATGTGTTTTTTTAAATGTGTTGTAAAGAAATCTGTGCTTTTGAAACTAATGATGAGAGCAGAAAATTATTTTAGCCTGACATGTACAGTATGGTTTATGCTTCCAAAATATTATGAATGTTTCCTAAAATAAAATATATTTTGTTCAGTGGGGGGAAAAGTATTGTAATTATTATTATTATTATTATTTTTAACCTAGTCATTTAAAACAAACATATTTTAGAGCAGTGATCACAATATGGTGATATATTTTTATCCAAGGTTATCATACCATCAGAAACTTATACTAGCCCATGCCTAGATAAAACTGATTAAGTGAAGCAGAGAGTTTATATATTTAGCTAAATAAATGTATCTTCTTTAACTGAATTTATTGGAATGAAGAGTACATTTATTTCAGATATATTATTCACATAACTTACTTTTCAACTGAAGAATGTTAGATTTGTTTGGCATTGGCACATGCTTCCATGAAACGAGATAGAAATGTCTGTCAATATATATGTATGCATGAAATATGGTGTCATTACTTTGAAATGTTTTGTGTTTTGATAAAACTAAAAGGTACAATAAAACTAAAAGGTTGTGTTTAATTTAGTTACTTTTCAAGATGTAATTAGATAAGTAATTTAGATGAATTTTTTATTGGTGTATTTAGTAATTAATTACTTTTTTGAAGTAATCTATCCAACACTGATTTCATTTTATAAAATCTATCGAAAATCTATACATAAACCTTTTTTTTTTATAATAGGCTACATGTAATTTGCTGAAAAAAATATTTGTGATCACATAAAAAACATATGTTTGTATGTGATTTTATCAATATTTGGTTATTTATTTTTTATTATTATCGTCATTTTTATTTTGAAATGTGACTATTGTTCTACCTAAATGTACAGCATTTATGTTCTAAGTGTACTTAAATAGGGTGGCATGGTGGCTGAGTGGGCATTTGGCATTTCTGTGTGGAGTTGGCATGTTCTCCCCATGTTCACATTGGTTTTTACCAAGTGCTTCAGCTTCCTCAAAAGTCTAAATGGTATAGGTGAATTGGGTAAACAAAATTGGCCATAGTGTATAAGTGTGTGGATGTTTGGATGTTTCCCAGTACTGGGTTGTGGCTTGAAGGGCATCCGCTGAAATAGTTGGTGGTTCATTTTTGCCGTGGCGACCCCTGATAAATAAGGAACTAAGCCGAAGGAAACTGAATGAATAAATGCACTTAAATAATGTTGTAATTATTATTATTCTTATTTTTCATTAAACCCCGGTCAAGTAAATGATGAAATATGTGTGTAATTAATTAATTAATCTTTAAATATCCTGTATTTAATTTAAATGTAATATGCAAAGGCAAACATCAAAATAATCGTATGTTTTTTTTTTTAAAACGACAGGACACTATTAAAAATGTATATAAAATATACTTTCAAGTAAAACTTAATTGTAGGTGCTTTTTTATTTTAATAATATCATATTATCTGCAAGTACATCTTTCCCACAACAATATACTTAGCAAAGCATCAAAGCTATCACACATAATGTTTGTTGTAGTTGTTATTGTTTTAAGATAATTTTTCAACACAATTCCCTCATCCTGCTTTCAGTTATGAAATCAAATCCTTCACCCGTCCTTTTGAAAGCCATGCCGTTTCATTAAATTCCCTGTGTGTCGCTGTCAGGAAGCTGTGATGCTGCAGATAGAGGCTCTACAATGTGTCTAAAGATCAGAGCTCAGCTTTCTGCTTCTTCTCTCTCCAAGTCCATGTGCTCCTTTCTGGATTCCAAACCTCCCAAAGGATGAGATCTGATCAGGTGGAACATTCAAACAATACAACCATTCAGAGGTTGAACAGGATGGGGTGTAGCCCGCACCTCCTCACACACACACACACACACACACAGATGGAGATGTAGGTGCTTGGGGAATTATGAATTTGTTTAAACAAGCTCTCGAAGGAACAGTCTCCCCGTTGGACATTGTGTCCACATGCTGGTCACTAATCATCTGATGCAAATTGAATGCAAAAATGGCAAGTTGTAAGCTGCAGCTGGTTGGTTGGTTTAAGTGTGTGTTTGAGAGAAGCAACTGAAGGAGTGTGTTTTGTGTTGCAGGTTTCGCTGGTGTTGAATGGAGGTCCTCGCTGGCTGATGGACATCATGTGGGTCAGCGCTGAAGATGGAAAGAGCAACTGTGCTGTTTACAGTAAAGGTGAGATTGCTTTGTCTTTCTTTGTGGATTTGAAAAGAAGGCTGAGAAGACACTGCTTAGTGTTTATTCAGCAAAATTCCTCTCACTGTAAAGCAAATTTTATTGAACTTTCCTGCTTTAAATGACAGCAGAAGGTTTTTTCGAAGTAAACTTACTAAAAGAGATATTGAGCAAAGTTTTACCTGGAAATTTATTTATTTATTTATTTATTTATTTATTTATTTATTTATTTATATATTATTTTCATACATTAACATTAAATATCTTATCTACACTAAAAATATCTGTTAATTAACAGTTTCTGAACATTGTGGTTCACACGTGTTTTAGGTTTATTTATGGTTGTAAATTGCATTATGGGACCTTGATCTCTGTTGACTTTTGATGCTGAAAATTCAACTCTACAGTTTAACAAAGTGACTTTTATTGACATTTTTGTAGTTTGAAATAATATAATGTATAAGAAATAATATATAAAGAAATAACTCAAATAAAAAATAAAGAAAAAATAAAGAAATAAAAAATGTACTGGCAGTTTATTACAACGGGGTTGTACCATAATATACAACAACAACCAATATATGACTTTAAACTATTAAATGAACTTTCAAGGTTGAATGTTTTTGAAAGAATGATCGAGGTCCCATAATGCAATTCAAATGCATTAACAAACATGGGGGAATAAAAACATGAATCACAAAGTAAGAATAACTGCTAACGTACAAATATTTTTAGAGTGTAATTAATCTTGTGCGTATTTGTTTGTTTGTTTTTTTATTGTATTTAAAGAGTCCAAATGCAAAAGCCTTTTAAGTGCCATCTGAAGTCCTCCAAAACAAGCATTTTCCTCTTATGTGTAGGTTCAGCAATTTCACTTCTATGGAGAATAGGATCTTTGCCTACTGCATAAAGAATAGGCAAAGAACAGGTTTTTCATCACTGGAGGCTGAGAAAAATGCTCATTTTAGAAGACGTGTTTTATTAAAGCTTTAATAATAAAATATTTTAAGTCAAGGCAATGCAGGCAAAACAAACATGCAACTGTAAATTTTGAAGTTTGGGCTTTTTTTTTTGATTTCTTGTAAAGTGTTTTTATTTTTTTTTTAAGTTTAATGAAAAAAAACCAAAACACAATCTCAAGATTTTTTTTATCATTCTTTATCAATTTTTGCGTAGATTGCAATAATTTTAAAGGGAAAAAAGTTTGATGTATTTGAATGAAAATGAAAATCTAATTTCTTTATTCTGTTGAACACAAAACAATACACTCTTAAGAATGTTGTAAAAGAGCAATATAATTACATCCATAGTAGACTAAAACAAGTCAATTGCTGTTTTTTCCAACATTCTTCAGGATATCTACTTTTGTGTTCAACAGAAGAAAGAAACTCAGAGGTTTGTAATAAATGAAGAATGAGTAATCGACATCATATTTATTTTTTGGTGAGCAATCCTTTCAAAGGCTGTTTCCTCTTTTTTTTTTAATCTCCACTTCAGCAGGATTAACATAAACCAAACTTTATTAGTGTATTATCAGTTTCACTTATTTTGTGTTTTAATCAAATAAATGCATAGTCAGTGAGCATAAGAGAGTCTTAGCAAACTCTGACTGTACTGTTTGGTGTCACTAACAAAGAGATCATCATATCTGAGAGTCTAAAACATAAAACAGCATATATTATAGAGCAGATCTAACATGAACTAAAATCCACAGAACTTTCCATTTCATGGGGTCTTAAAACCCCTATGTCTTGCTTTCATATGTACAGTGGATCTAAAATAACCATGGTTCTTTTTCTGAGATAAAACGATGACCCCATTTTTAGCAATAGAAGAAAAAGTGAGCAGTAATAACTTGCCATTCCACGAACAAATACTCAGTGTTTAAAGAGCAGAAAGATAACTCATTGTTGCCTGCGCTCTCTCTCTTCTTGACTAAAACTGATATTTCCGCTAAAGTGCTCCACTTTTTTATTATCTGCAGGAGCTTAATTGATTAATCTACTTACAGTACATGTGTAAGTTCAACAGAACAATCCCTTCTCCATTCTGACAAAAAAAAAAAAAAAAAAAGACTGGAGGATATGAAAGACTTAAAGGTCTTTATCGCACTTATCTGAGAACACAGAGAAATAGAATAATGGTTGAACATCTCCAGCAATGTCAAATTTCATTATCAGTGTATTGAAACAGCAGCGCCCCTGGAGGAGTCGACTCTCCGCCAGCGAGCGGCACAGCGATTGCGTTTAATTAAAAGACAACGCTGATGAACTGAAGGGCTTTCAGTCGAGAACTTATTAAGAGATTGAAAGGGGGGTCGGGATCGATTAGGCCAGACTGCCGGATATTTCACAAACTATGCAGCTTACTATAGTCTGGCAGATTGCAGTGTTAACTGTCCCAATGCAGAGGTTTTGAAAGGGTGACAAGGTTTTGTAATGTATGCACATAATATGGCTGTATTCACATGTGCCCTACTGATTTCTTTACACATGATTGGTCTGAATTATAGAATAGTTGTGTCATTAGAGCAAGAACAAAGGCTTTTTTGACAAACACTACTTTGGGGTCAGAAGGTTTTTTTTAAATGTTTTAACATTTTATCATCAAGGCTGCATTTATTTAATCATAAATACAGTACAAATGGTGAAAATGTGAAATGTTCTTGCATTATAAAATAACTGTTCAAAAGTAGTTCATCATTTAATTCAATCATTTATTCCAGTGATTTTAATGACTTTTCAGCTTCATTACTCTAGTCTTTAGATTCACATAATCCATCAGAAATCACTCTATTATTATTATTATTATTATTATTATTATTATTATTATTATTATTATTATTATTATTATTAATGGTAATAGTAATAAAAGCAATAATAATTAGAATAATAATTTAATTTAAAATTACATACAATAAGTAATAAATAAATATTTTATAAACAAGTATTTAACTTTTTTTTTTTAATTAGTGTAAATAAAGAAATATGAAAAAAAAAAAAAAAACTGACCCCAAACTTTTGACCGGTAGTGTATATTTCACAGATCCATTAAAATCAGATTTAAAAAAAAGTATTAATTTGTTGGTAAATATATAGTTTTATTCCGTAAGCACACAGTAAAAAAAATTTAACACAGCAAAAAAAAAAATATGGTAAACTATAGCAGTTTTGTAAGCTTCTAACTAAACAAATCTTATAAATGAATCCCAGGGCCATAACATAGAAAATAGGAAAACACTGTGACTTGATACATTATAAAATTAAAGGGACAGTTTATATATATTTACAGTTTACATATATATATATATATATATATATATATATATATATATATATATATATATATATATATATATATATATATATATATATATATATTAAACTCAAGGGGTCCTACACTTAAATTTTTTTTTTACTTCTGTTAAACTGAAAACAAGATATTTTGAAGAATACTGGAAACCAGCAGCCAGTGACATCCATAATGGGAACAAAAAAATAAAAAGAACTTAATGGCTAAAAAACTTTTTTTTTTTTTCAATATATCTTCCCAACATAAGATAGGAGCTTAAACAGGTTTGGAACAAGTGGAGGGAGAGTATATTATAACAGTATTTTCATTATTGGTGTGAACTTTCCCTTTAAATTTTAAACATGTATATTGAGAGATAGAAACTTGAGTCTGCCACTTAGATTTGGAAATCACTAAAATAACTACACAAACTCGTTTAAAGCTGACTTAAGACTTAACTTGAACTCGTAACTTAAACAAAAAAACAAAAGTCTTTTGCTATGATATTGTATTCTATTCTCTCTTTCTACACGACTGCAGCATGCACATTTTTATGTTCATTTATAAATAACAGTGGTGTCTGCAAGCGGGGAACAAAGTTGAGTTTCAGGGAGTTAAAACAGCACAAATAATAATAATAACCTAATAATAATCATGTTTATATAAACACTAAATGAGGAGGACTTCTCACCTTCTGAATCCCAGTGTCTGAATACAGACACAGTGGATATCAGTGCGGCAGGTCTCTTGACCTATGTCAACCATTAGCCCTGTCTGTAATCTGGATGATTTTAAACACAGCAGCACGGATATATGTGATGTGTCTGAATGGTAACAAACTCAATTGATAAAAGACAAAGTTCACCATTCTCGCACAACTCTCCCGACAAAAATGCTTGCTGCACACAAACAGCTTTGCTGTATCAGCCCTGATATCATTGTGGAAAAAGCCATGCAACAAACCCATAAATAACTAAATACTGCATGCCGTGTGTGGCCGCGGTCTCACAGCTTGGCAGGTCTGTCTTTGGAAAGCACATGCTGTTATGAATAATTAAAAAGCAGGGTCTTTATAGGTTAAAAAAACTCAGATATGAATAATAGTGAAAAACCAAGAGGTCATCACTGGACAGCCAGATTTGCGCTACGTCACCGATTTTGATCCCACCCCAAACATGAGTTCAAAGCCGGAAGATGAAATTAACTAGAAAAAGTTCATTTATCCAAGTTTATCCACAATTACAGCTGACAGGTGCTAATGTAGGCTTAATCAATGCTCAACGCACAAAAATCTGTTAAAATCTCGAAAAAGTACTCCAGGGTTTCTTAAACCTTTAAGGCAGGGGTGTCAAACTCAGTTCCAAAAGGGCCGAAGCCCTGCACAGTTTAGTTCCAACCCTGCTCCAACACACTTACCTGTAGGTTTCAAACAAGCCTGAAGGACTCAATTAGTTTGATCAGGTGTGTTCAATTAGGGTTGGAACTAAACTGTGCAGAGCTGCGGCCCTTTTGGAACTGAGTTTGACACCTGTGCTTTAAGTCATTGTAATGTACCATTTACCTATTTTACATGATGCACATTTTCAACTGAAGTCTGGGGTGTTCAAAGTTTCTGGAGGGCTACAGTTCTGCACAGTTTAGTCCCTGTTTCAACACACTTGTAGGTTTCAAACATGTCTAAAGGACTCAGTTGGTTTAATCAGGTGTGT